TTTTGCCCCTTCCCAAAATTACGTCAACGGAAGGTTTCTAGATGGAGAAGCGGAGCAAATCCATCTGGCGGAGTCAGGTTAGGTGTTGGCAGAGCAACCATAAAATAATATAGCCATCTTGAAAAAAAGCTCTTTAGCAGAGAGGGTCGTGAAGAAATTTAAAATTTACTGATAGTCGATTTATAGTCGATTTCTCTCATTTTAGAAATGGTAAAACCCACTAAACTCCAGCAGATGCCATTTTATTGACTGTTCAACATAGCAATGAACATTAGAAATTTGGATTCTGTTCCTCTACCAGCTTTCTTCATACAATGGATTTTCAAATGAAATAAAAAATATATTTCCTTCTGGAATTATACAGTAGTTTTTTTTTTTTTGTTTTTTTCCCAAAGCTCAGTTAAGATCCTGTTGATGTTCCTCTGGTGCAGGAGTGTTTTAAAAGAAATAAGGCCACATTTTGTGCTAAAATTCTGGATAGGTCTCAGTATGATTGTTCTTAAACATCTGTTCAGTCTTAAGAATGATTCCTGTGTTGAAAATTATTTTATTGGTCTTTAGTTAAAGTTAAAATTTTCAAAAAGTTTTCATAGAAATTAGAACTTATTCTAAAGTGCCAGTAGAAAGGTAGTGAAAAAAAAAAAAGTATTTTTTGTTATGTAAAGAAAAGTATGAGGGAGAATGACATCATGAAATATTTCTAGTGTAATAATTTCATGCTTAGCAGTTCTATGTCAACGCTAAATGAAGAAATGACAGTGGATCTAAAGTGTTTCCATCTAATTTTCCAAATTGTTTGTGGACAAAATTGTTTTACCTTCTGTTGATCACCGAAGACCACATCGTCAGCACCATGCAAAAGCCGCATGGCAAAGTCACATGATGCACACGGACATGATTGATCGAAGGAAAATATGGAAGGAACAGGGTGGGGTAGAGGGGGTTGGGGAGGCACATGAGAAACATACAAAACATTTGGAAATGATGAAAACATGTCAACAAAAAACAAAACAAATGAAAATGTTAGAGACAAAACTTTCAACAAAACAAGATCAGATTAATCCCTAGTTTTAAAAAAAAGTCCTTAAAATTTTACTAGAGTTATGAGGCAGCTTAAGTTAATACAATTATTTTATTAGTTCAAGTATAAGACAAAACTAATATATAGTAGCAGGGTTTAAATGGCATGAAATCATTAAAAGGAAATGTGCAGATTTTGGTCTCCTGATCAACCAATAAGAGTCTAAACACAAGAGAGAATATCTTAAAGGTTTTCCCAGACATTCACAATCTAGAACTGTGGTGTCAAACATCAAGACCCAATGTTCTGCAGGCTTTAAATGTTTCATTACTTCAACACATCTGAATCGAATGCAAGATTCATTACAAGGCTTCTGCATAGCTGTATGGCATATTAAGCTGCATATTCAGTTAATTCACAGCTATGGTGGAGCAGGAACGCATCCAGGACATGGAATCCACCATTTCTGCACATCTTGTCCACATATGATGAAAGGGGTACCATTATCACCTCAGTATGTGACGCACAGCGGGTTTTACTAAGCGTCAATATTTGAGTGTGAAATCTATTTAGTGGTTAAATCATACATGAAGGCAACTTTCATTCAAAAATGTTAGTCAATGTTGAGTGAGTTTTGTTTTTCTTAAATGCAAACGTTTAGTGTTTGTGATTTCTGTCCTACCTCTTGTTCAGTGCATGTAGTTGTGGCTTTCTCAAAGAAAAAAATGCACATAAGCCCACTTTAAAAAAAATAAATAAATCAAAGTTGTGGCACAGGTCAGTCTAGGACAGGGGTCTGCAACCTGCGGCTCCAGAGCCACCTATGGCTCTTTGGACCCTCTCCAGCGGCTCTTAATAGTGGCTAAAATGTATATAATGAGCTAAATGATTTACTATAATATATATACCAGTATCAATAGCTTTAGCGTTTTTTTTTTTTTTTTATAAGATGGAAAAGAATGAGATTAAAAGAACCAGAAACATGTTTTAAGAGACATTTTTCTATGAATTAGCTTGAAAATTATACGTTTTAACATTAAGAATATATGAATTGATTGTTTGAGATGGCAACAACTAATTTCCTATACAAGATAAAAAAAAAAAAAAAAGGTTTTCTAAAAAAATCACGGTATATTTTGCGGCTCTAAACGACTTTTATTTGGTCGTACTCTGGGCAAAACGGCGCTTTGGATATGAAAGGTTGCAGACTCCAATATTTGAGCAAATATGCGTGCACCAAGGTTTTTTGTATAAAAAAAAAAAAATCTAAATTTCCTATTATTACCTATTATTTTTATATACTTAAACACAACTATTATAATGCTACCCCAAAGGTTTTGCAACAATCCTCCATTTGGAGCAAGAATGGCATTGACAGAAAAAGACCAATGCTTATCCTACAGGGCCAGGTTCTGTTAAAGTCACAGAACAGAAAACAAAAGAAAGAAGGCTGGGAAAATAATAAAACCTGTGAAGAACAAAATTTTGCCCCCTCTGTGGACAATAAAGTTTATCTTATCTTAGCTTATCTTATCAAAACCAAATACCACACCTCAGTGCGAACACTTCTTCTATAAATAATAATCATAGTGAGAGCAACAATAATGGTAGCAATAGCTCAGTCAAGGGCTCTAGACAGGAGAAAGATAAGGAATAGCTTAGCAAGGAGTACGATCTGTAGGGAAGAATAACAACCAGAGTTTACAGCAATAACTGTAGTATTAGTTTCATAAGGATTCAGTCCAGGAAGAAGATAAAGATAAACTATAACAGTAGCACCTTCTATAGGAAAAATAGAAAAAAAAAGAGGTCAAAAGGTTAATGGCAGCAATAGCTCTATTAGTACCTTTGTCCAAGAATGAGACAGAGCTGAACACAGTACCAATGAGCAAAGAATGCTCCCTATAATGAGGATAAAGCTTTAATGGAAAATTGCATGTGTATTTTATAACATAGATAGTCTGGCTGATCAATACACAGCGCCATAAAAAAAATATGAGGGTACTTTTACTCTTTTTTTTATCATCCACTGATTATGAAACCTAAAGTATCAACTGTATTTATTGGGCTTGCGATAGAAGAACAGAAAAGGCACATTTTTGATTTAATGATAACAGGAATAATTCGCAATAAAATTAAACAAATCTTCTGAAGCCATAGAAAGCAAACACCTCAGACCAGAAGCCTTCTCTTCCAAAACTCTTCCAACAACACAAAATCAAATAAAACACAAACTCTATGCTGAAAGCCTAAGTAATCTAGATCAAACCAAGAAAATACCAAATGGATTTCTCAGCAGTTTTAAGAGCTGATGGCTTCGGAGAAAATCCTGATGGAAGTGGACAATAGACGTGACTGGATTTAAACAGACCACCCACCACCGTTAGGATGGAGAGACGCTGTGGCCCTTCGAAGAAAATAAACTAATTTTTTAAGTCTAAGATTTAAGATAAATCAAATGGATCTACATCCTGCATTAGTGGAAGAAAATAAATTGAGCTTGTTGTTCTGAATGTGCTGAAATGTGACTACAGGAAGCAACTTTTCCAAAAGCTGACCAGAAAAAGGTCTTAAACATTACAGCATGTAATAAATATATTTTAACTCTGAGGTTGTTTTAAATCCGTTATTCAGCAGCACGCCATGCATACATAGCACAGGAGCTTGGTTACAGGTGCTCATGGATCCAACTAATACTAATTACTAAGCTGCAGCTACATTATAACCAGCCAGATTAATATTGTGTAATCTCCATAGGTTCTGACTCTAGCATATGGATATCTAAGACACCTGCTGCTCTTCAAGTTTTTTCTTGACGTTTACTTTGGTTGTCTTCTTTTTGCTAATGTATCTCTATTTTCTGTTCCTCTCATCCTATACAGGTCTGGAAGCAGACTTCAAGGAGTTATTGCAGGGTTCCTACAGCATAAGGCAAGTTAAATTCAAGTCTTTTTAAGACTTTTTAATGCCACTTGAAATAAAAATTTAAGACCAAATTCACAAGAAACACAAGAAAA